CATGAGGCCGGCCGAGGGGCCTGCTGAAGGTGCATTCCTCTATGAAGTCAGCTAAGGCTTGCGCTTTGATCGCAGGCCTCGACTGGTATTGGATGTCAAACTCTGACAGTTCGATCGCCCACTTGATTAGGCGTCCCAAAGTCTCTGGCTTGGCGAGGATGACCTTAAGGAGCTCATTAGTTAGGACCATGATAGTATGGGCTTGGAAATACGACATGAGCTTTCTGGCTGAGGTGATGAGTAGGCTAGCTTTTCCACTTCGAGGTACCTAGTTTCGACATCGCAGAGGACCTTGCTGACATAGTATATAGGTCTCTGGACTCTGTCATCTTTCACCAGGACCTAACTGATGGCCTTGTCTCCAACTAACAAGTACAAATATAGAGTTTCCCCTGATGCCGCCCAAACAAGGAGCGGGGGTGAGGCGAGGTATAGCTTCAGCTTGTCGAAGGCACGCTGACACTTCTCTGTCCACTGAAAATTTTTCAACTTCTTGATGGCGCAGAAGAAGGGAAGGCAACAGTCTGTCAACTTCAACATGAAACGGTTGAGGGCGGCTATCCTGCCGGTGAGTCTCTGGGTCTGCTTGTCGAAGGCACGCTGACACTTCTCTGTCCACTGAAAATTTTTCAACTTCTTGATGGCGCAGAAGAAGGGAAGGCAACAGTTTGTCAACTTCAACATGAAACGGTTGAGGGTGGCTATCCTACCGGTGAGTCTCTGGGTCTCCTTGACTGACCAAGGGGGTGCCATGTCTAGTATGGTCTGTACCTTGTTCGGGTTGGCTTCAATGCCTCTTTGAGTGATGACGAAGCCTAAGAATTTTCCCGAGGTAACTCCGAAGGCACACTTGCTCAGGTTGAGCTTCATGTTGAACTTGCATAGAGTATCAATGGTCTCAGCCAAGTCCGAGGTGTGTGCTTTGGCCTTCAGGCTCTTGACCACCATGTCATCCACGTAAGCTTTGACGTTCCTCCCCATCTGATTCTTGAAACCCTTATTGACAAGGCGCTGGTAGGTGGCCCCTACATTCTTAAGGCCGAACGACATTACCTTGTACTAGTACGTGTCATGCTTAGTGATGAATAAGGTCTTCTCCTCGTCGTCTAGGTGCATCTGGATCTAGTTGTACCCGAAGAAGGCATCCATGAAGTTGAGTAGTTCATACCCTACAATGGCGTTGATGAGGTGGTCTATCCTCAGCACAAGAAAACTATCCTTCGAACAGGCTTCGTTAAGGTCTGTGAAGTCAATACAGATCTGCCATTTCCCATTAGCTTTCCTTACCAAAACCACGTTAGACAACTAGTTAGGGTAATGTACCTCACGGATAAACCGACGTCAAGTAGCTTATCAACTTCCTCTCCTATGGCCTTTCATCGTTCCGATGCAAAGTTCCTCTTCTTTTGTCGGACTGGCCTAGAGCTTGGGTCCACACTTAGCCTATGAGTAATGACCGAGGGGTCAATTTCGGGCATGTCAGCGGCGGACCAAGAAAAGACATCGGCGTTAGTTTTGAGGAAACTTACCAGTTCGGATAGGCATTCAGGGGGAAGGTTGGACCCAACGCGGACCGTCTTCTCTAGGGCTGACTTATCCAGGAGAACCGAGACGAGGTCCTCGACTGGCTGACCTCGGCTCACTGGCTCCTCCCATAGGTCGAGGCCTTCCAATGACAGGGCTTCCTTATTCTTTCCTTTTAGCGCCACCACGTAGCATTGGTGAGCGATCTGCTGGTTCCTACGAGCAACTCTGACACCGTGCTCAATGGGAAACTTGAGGGCCAAGTAATCGGAGGACATGGCTGCCCCTAGTGCATGAAGGGTTGGCCTCCTCGTTATTGCGTTGTAGGGAGAGGCGACCTTCACCACCAGGAACTCATGCATCCAAGTCACCTGGTGTGGTGCTGTCCCTACCGTGATGGGTAGGGTAATTTTTCCTTCCAACCTGACGCTGCCACCGGAGAAGCTGACGAGGGGAACGTCAATAGGCTGGAACCGCTCTGGCGTGAGCTTCATTCTCTCATAGGTGTCGTAAAAAAGGATATTGGCTGACGAACCACTATCCACCAAGATCTTCTTCACCATAAAATTGGAGATGATGGCTGCAACTACGAGGGCATCGTCATGGGGGACTATGACACCCTCTAAGTCCTCGTTGGTGAAGATGAGGGCATGTTGACAGCTCGGCCTCTATGGAGCGTCCGGGTACTTCTGCTTCTTCGGGGCAAGCTCTTGGATGTTAAGCTGCTAGGCGTAGGCTTTTTGAGCCGAGGCCGAGGTCATAGTCATGGGAGACTATGACCCCCTCTAAGTCCTCGTCGATGACTCCTGCCTTTTGCTGATGCTGCTACTACTGCTACTGGGAGGATGAGGCGTCGGCCTCTCCTCTGGCGAACTGCTTGAGGTGCCTGCGGCAGATAAGGGACTCTATTTCGTTCTTTAGATCGTAGAAGTCCTCAGTGTCATGCCAAGTGCCGCAGTGACACTTGTAGTACTTCGTGGGGTTCCCCCTCTTGCGGTTCCACTTCAGCTTCATTGGCCACTTCACAAACTTCTCTTCCCCAATCTACATCAGTATCTGAGTGTGGGTGGAGTTGAGTGGCGCGTAGTCCTTGTAAGCCAAAGCCGGAGCCGGTGGCTTCTTGTTGTCTTTGCCACCATGGTTGTCGGGGTGGCGCTGGTCCCTACCTTTCCTCTTCTTCTCTGGGGGCCCGTCATGGCGCTCAGTTGCCCTTTCTTGGTTGTCCCCGGGCGAAGCCTCTTCGGCCGCAATGTATTTTTGGGCCTTCTTAAGGAATTCGAGTTTAGTCTTTGGCGGGGTCTTGGCGACCGAGCACTTGATGGTCGAGCCGGGGCGGAGTCCGTTAATGGCTGCATGCATAGAGACCATAGGGTCAAGGTCTCAAACTTCAAGCTCTTTCTTCTTAAAGCTGTCAATATAAGACCGCAGGCTTTCACCCAGCTCCTATTTGAGCGACATCATAGAGATTACGCTCTTCTGGCATCGTCTACTGCTGATGAAGTGGGCAAGGAACAAGGTTATAAATTGCTCCCACGAGTTGATTGATCGGGGAGGGAGGCTGGAGAACCAGCAGCGAGCGGCTCCCTTGAAGGTGGCTTGGAAGGTCCGACACGTCAAGGCATTGGAATACCCGTAGAGTATCATGAGCGCCTTGAAACCCTCCATGTGGTCATCGAGGTCGGTGCTCCTGTCGTACATTTCCAATGTGGGAGCCTTGAAGTGTGGGGAAAGAGGCTCCGAAATGATTTCCAGGGTGAATATGTCCATGCGGCCAGCAGACTTGTCATGACTAGTTGAGGTGTCGGCTCAACTCTCCTTAACCTGTAGAGCACGTCCTTGATGGCCCCAATCTCGGCTCACAACTCGGCAAGCCCTGTGTCAGCGTGAGCATGGGCCCCGCTTCTGTCCTCGCAGACTTGGTGGGCGTCGACTCGGACTTCCAAATACTTCGAGACAGGGTCGCGTGTTCCTCTACGGGCACGACGATCATTCAGAACGTCCTAGAGATCCAAGACGGGAGGGGGAGTGGCATAGCGTTGGCTCTCGCCTCGAAAGCAAACTTCAGGGCGGCTGAGATGCCCATCATCGTCCCGGGGGGCCTCCCTCTGGCGGCGGTGGTGTTGTTCTGAAGATTGATGACTATCTTCGGATTGAGCGGGCACGCTTTCCCTTCGGCTAGGAGGACAGATGTTCCTTCATGGTGAATCCGGGGGATGGTTGTTGCCCGATTCTGATGGCTCAGCTAGCAAGTTACCATGGCCGAGCGTCGGTGGCTCGACATTCTCGTGTCAACCCTGATCCTTTGACACCCCAGTGGGGCGGTCACCTCAAAAGGGACCTCTTGTTCGGGAACAAGCTTCTTCCATTCATTGAGTAAGGCGGTCTAAACGATTGAGGACAACCTGAAACTGTTTATAGGTGACCAGGTTCTGATTGTTCCTGGTTCTCCGCACCATGGCTTTCAAGCTTAAGAGGGTTTGGATTTAGAGTATGCTGTTTTTTTTATCCTAATGTGGGGGTCATCTTAGCAACGGCTTCCCACAGAGGTAAATTCACTCTCTAGGTTCCGAATGTTGACCGAGGACTTCGTGGCCTTGGAAGAGGTGATCCAAAGCCGAGGACCGCAGACTGAGGTGAGGTCCCTGGTGACCAAAGGTACTGCAAGACAGGGAATGTTAGAGGCCTCGGGCGGGTACCCGAGGCAGAGGCTTTGACACTCAAGTTAGTACGAGGTATAAAGTAAGAGAGGGTGCAGGCGAGGTCTTGGCAATAGTCCTCGGATGCACTAGATCTCCTAGAGTAAATGAGTAAGCTGTGTTAGAATTTTCTGTTTCAGATCCCATTTATACTTAAACGTGCTAGAGGTAGGTGAAGATGAACACCCTGGATGAGAGCCGTACGAGATTAGGCGATAGGCCCTAGTGGGTGCGTTTGACCGCCATGCGATTGGCTCCGTACAAAAGCAATAGGGCTCCCTCCTGCTGTGGCTGACGTTGTTAGACATTAGTGGGCTGGGCCTCCCAGCCCATGATGGGCTAGGCCAAGCTAACTCACATCAGATGGTAAAAGGAATTGCTGACCCCCTAAAACTAACAGAAAGCTAAAGGAAAATTTTCTAAGGAATTTCACAAAATTTGTTTACAATTTTCCCTCAACCATCTTTTTCGCTCTAATTTTCTATCCAATCAAACATAGCCTAAAGGAATCAGAATTGATCCGACCCCTACAAGGCTAGAACTACAAGAATCATCACCAGTCCAAAAGGGCAATCCCTACCCATTGACAAACCCAGTTTTCACTCCGATATGCTTTGGGCAAATAATCCTAATAGCCCAAAACGAGTCTTTGTATACAACTTCCAAAGTCTTGCCTTCAAAAAGAAAAAAAAAAGCCTCCAAAGTCAAAAAAATAAAATAAAATAAACTTCTGTATTTATCACAATAAACATAAAAAAAGCAAAAGAATGGAGAGAAAAATGAAAGAATTTCATTTTATTTGAATGCTGGCCAGTTTTAGCTTTTAGGCCAGATTAATAGTGTGACAAAGGTAGGTTCCATGGTGGGCAGCTTAAGGTGGAGAAGGAGAAGCTGAGCGTCCAACAAGTTTTAGTGCTTCTTCAAGGGTCTTTCTAAACTTATCTACATTAATCCTGAAATTCTGCCCATCTATGTACACTGCCCTGCTCACGTTGTAGCCTTGCCTATGTATAGACCATGGATCCGTGATGACTGGGTGATCTCGACCGTATACATCAATCAACGTGGTCTCGTCTGGATCGATCTTGTACTCCAAGTAATATATACCCATTTTATGGGACGGCCCACCATAGTAGGCTTCAGAAGCCCATTCCAGACCCCATCCCACCACCTGCACCACCACAGCTCCCTCCGGCAAGAACACCATGTTTGTCAGTCCTGCCCCGTGAGCCCCCACAAGAACATTGCATCTGTTTAATACCCCAGAAAACTTTCGTAAATTCGCCATATGTTCAGGCGAAGCTCTAGTCACATGGTACCCCAATCCTTCTGCCACCCTTACCAGATCTTCTTCATTCACGAACATTCTCGTTCTTTTGCGTGAAATAAGGACCAGATTTAGCTCTGGTATCTCAGACTCATGCTTTACTCTCAAGTTGAACGATTCTCGAAGGAACTGCTTGAAGTCTAGCGTAGAGTATCCACCCGGAATTCTGCTGGTATTGCAATAGAGGGTGTCATGGTACTTGAGCCCAACAACAGCTGCAGGAAAGCAGTGCACCCTGCCGTCGTCGGCCGGATTGATGATCCCATAACTCGATAAGCCTGAGAGAAGTGAGTCGAATCTAGTGACCCACCAGGCATTGAAATCAGTCACGATGAACCTTATGCGCGACTGAAAGTGGCGGCATGTAAGGAAAAGTGGGATGGCGATCTCGTTGAATTCATGGTAGATGTTGCCGGTGTAAGTGGTGGCGAATATAACGGCAGGGACGTCGTGGGTAACATCACAGGCTGGTGGGATAAATGTGCTGTTTGGGATCTTTATCTCCACCGGAGTAACAATTCTCATGTTGTTCTCGTCTTCCTTCTTGGGGTAGGGCCGAACCCTGAGCGGCGCATCCGGTGGAATTTGTTTGGACGACAGATAAATTGTTAAGGAACGCATGTCGATCTTCACTTGTTGGTCGGCGACACACACATCGGAGTGTATATCAGATTCGCATGAGTAGCCGGTGGTTTCAAGCTCCATTAGATTTTTTCCTGTTAGCAGCAACTTTGCCAAGTTTCAATCTGGTAATTAATTTCATACAGAAACCAGAATACAATAACAAATCGATCGTTATAGCTTGTTAAATTTCAATCAATCTATCTGTTTACTATGTAGTTTTGGTTTTTTTATTTTCTGCAAAGTTAGGATTAATCTTTAATTGAAAATTATTAAGATGTAAGATGGAATGTAATGAACACGGAATTAATTGATTATTATAGAGCAAAATTATAGGGCTCATTTGATTTTCAGGAATAGGAGTATGGAATCGGTCCAACTGTTTCGTTGGGTGAAATTAGAATCTCATTCTCAGGTGGAATGACATTCATGGCATTCACCCATTGCCTCCCTTTAAGAATAAAATATTATTCGAAACTGATTCCAATTTTCATTCTCATTCGACAACTATGATGAGGAATTTAGATCCTAATTTCCATTCCGACTATGAACCAAACGAATCCATAATAAACTAAGAATCCGGAATTAATGGATTGAATTTGAAATCCCTTGCATGCAAATAAGTTTAATTCTAGAATATTACAACCTTTATTGTCACTGTTGATGATTTTGAAAATTATAATGTAAATCAGGAACAGGGGCAAATTAGTAAATATCATATGGACTAAAAGATTAGAAAAGGTGGCTAATATAAAGGATACCCTACTTGGTAGAGGTAGACAGCTCAGATGCCAGATGGGCAACATCATCACTCCATCTGGTAAAAATAAAAACAGTTTGTGTATGAAAAACTCCTTAATCCCTAGCTGAGCTGAATAAGATAGCCAAATAGTTAAGAAAGCTTTTCCACGTGGCAATTCAATTTGATTTCCAAATGTGAACACTTGTTGGAGCAAAGCCACAGCATATAAAGGACACACAGAACGACTCTAATGGGTCGGAAATGGAAAAAAGTATTCGCCGCCATGTATCCAACCCCACCGGGCCCACTCCATATGATTGACATAACCCCTTCTTTTTTATTGCATTTATTTTTTACAAAAGTCAAAAGATAAAAAGATAAAATTATGTTAGTGAGATTTAGGCGATGTTTGAGAGTGTTTATGTTAAAAACAAGTGTTTATTCAAATAAGTATTTATATGTATTTAGCACCTTTTTTAAGTCTTATTTTATAAAAATATTTTTATGAAAGTATTTTTATAAAATCATTTTTAATAAAAGCATTTTTACGAAAGTATTTTTATAAAATTCAACTAAGGATAGTTTTATAAGTAGTATTTTAAAATTCAACTAAGGATAATTTTAGAAGAAAAAAATTGATAAATGCTTATTGTATAAGCACTTAGAAGAAAAAAAACTAAAAATTTGGACTTAAAAAATAAACCTTTATTTTTAAAATAAGCACTTATATAAGACTTATTTTTTAAATATCAATAAGTACTTAATGGTGTAATTTCGGCCCAAATAAACACTCATTCTGAATAAACACTTATTTTTAAGCACTGCCAAACATGACCTTAATCAGAATTATTGATTCAATAATTCAAGATAGAAGACAGTTGGCGAAGAGTAATGCATCATCATCTCCCAGAGTCTTTTAGACATATTTGAATGCTAGAGAATAAAACCCTTTTCGTATTGCATTTTGTCCTCTTTGTGATTTAAGGCCTCCGTGATGCGCAAGTTACTCAAACAGATTTTTCAAACCGAAATTTTCTGCTATTGGGTCTGATGCAGATGCAGAGGTGAGATAGGAATGTTGTACACAGAAGGAGCATAATATTAATAATATATCAAGGAAGAGTACCTCGTACGAGTCTTCTTAGATGAAGCTTCAGAGGATTCTCCTCCTTTATGTCTTGTGCTTGTGGGCCTTTGTCTTCGTCGTGGTTGTTGGTATTCGCACTGAACCGATCTGTTAATTGCTGCCTCCCTTTTAAAAATGAAATATTAACGAAAACATTAAGATTGAATAAGTGTTTGACAATTAGATAGCATTAACTGAATTAACGAATTTTGTGTTGATCGACATGATCAATCGACCCTGATGAATTCCTAAGGTTGTTCGGAAAGTAGACAGGGGCCAGATACCACGCCAGAAACAATGAAAAGGGGGGGGGGAAACATGCAAAGAGAGAAAGAGATGGAAAAGTGAATTACATGAATCAATTGACCAAGTATCTGACCGGAAAAACGCGAGGTAGAGCAGAGGGAGAAGTAAGGCGAAGAAAGAGGCTGCAGTGAGTGCTACCCTTGGCGATTCCTTGGCCATGAGCCGGTGCTGACCGGGAGAACCTGCTGGCTCGACGGACGACGGTGGTGTTTGTCAAAAGACTCAAAAGAAGATGTATCGATAATATCGATAGTGAATACAATAGTACTGCATGAATAAATAAATACTAACCAAGAAGAAGCCACGAGAGTGGAAAGTCTACTCTCGCGAGTCGCTGCTCCCTTCTAAGTTCTAACTTGTAACACAAGGCGGCTCTTTTATTTAATAAATAAATAGTGGGGATCTGTGCCAGATTTTATTGATTGAAAGTGAAATAATGAAAATATATATTTTTATTTTCTATTGTAATACTATTAATTAATATCATTATAGGTGTTTAAATTATATAATTTATAATTTATACAAAAAAAGCAAATGTATTTTAAATATACTATGAACTAAATACATTTATTTCTTGAAGATTATTGATAATTAGAACATTTTAGTGGTTATATTTTTATTTTTTTGGTAATTTATTATATTTATTAGAAACCATATTAATCCATTTCTGGTAATTTCTTGGATAGTTTTTGGTAATTATAACAAAATTATTGGTACTTTATTTTGGTTATTTTCTTGGCTAATCTCTGTTCATAAAATGTAATTTTCTGCTATATATTGATTAAATTATATATAATTACTATTAATTACAGTTTAAGATTTAATTATATTATTTACAATATCAAATATAATTTAAATAATATTTAAAATACAATTTAAATTATAGCTTATATTAATTAACAATTTAAAAAACTGTTAATTAATAAATACTGTAATAAATAATATTGCAATTATTGTAAAATATGGTTAATTGTTAATACTGTAATTATTAAAAAAACTTAAGCAAACCGGAAGAGATAAAGGAAAAATTATGCTTAGTCAGATAATAAGTACATGCTATAAACAATTAAATCTCAAAAGACAACAAAAATAACAAGAATTCTCAAAACAAAAAAAAAAAAAAATAAAGTAACAGGAAATTAGCAAATGGTTGGGAAAACTAAGAAATTGCCTCAAAAAATAAAAAAAAAACATCGATTGTTTAATTATGACATACTTGCAGTGTAGCTAGGACCAGAGCAGAAGGCTAGGAGAATGAAAAAGACATGACAAATCGGCAATTCGGGCAGAAATGCTATGAACAGTAGATCTTTTATCGACCATCGACCATCGACCAACTTTGGTGAATTACATTAACAGTTTAACACCATCTCTGGGAATTAAAGGGGGGCGGGGGGGTGCTTCAACTCGGGCAGAAATGCTATGAACAGTAGATCTTTTATCCATTTCAAAATTTCAATCCACTGTTACTATCATACACATGTGCCTTCCTGTTTGTTTATTATCACTTATCAGAAACGAGATATTCCCAAACGATCACTCCCCAGTCCCCACCTCCACATATTTTCTTCATCGATTATTTATTTATTTCTGGGAAACTCTATGATGCCGGAAACGGATGATACCGAAGAACTTTGACCAATTATAATAAAAACATTCAAAAAGGCTAATCCATCAGACAGAGACTGTGGATCCGTTTGCACCAGAAATTTGATAATCCCGTCTCCAACTTGGTATCAGGTTGGGTTGGATAACTGAGAAGTGAGAACCGATTCCATCGAGCATGCCGGGACCAGGTATACCAATATTGCCAGTTTGCCACCCGTCACCGGTACATGGGCCTGGCCTGGGCTAGGAGCTTTCTTAATGGCCTGGGCATCTTAACGCCTATAAACACCTAAAAACCAAGGTTCAAAATATTGATACGCCCTGTGTATCGGCAGGGGCGTGTCGGTACTAAAAAATCACCACTCAATGTGTTCTTTTTAATTTTTTTTTTCAAAATTTTAATTTTGAAGATGTTTTTTAAGTGTTTTTTTATTGAAATAAATGAGGGTCCCGAAACATCTGTAAATAAGTGTATTGAGACCAAAAGATATGATACAATACGTTCAATACGGAGCATCGATACTTTGAACCTTGGTTAAAACACAATCCGAATGCCCCAATTGTGAAAACTTGGGATAGGTGGCAAAGGGATCTGACCCATTTATGGTTTAGATTTTCAGTACTTTTCATATCTCCATTTATTATTATTATTATTATTATTATTATTATTATTATTATTATTATTATTATTGATGGTGCGCGATCTAGTGCTCCCTGCTAGAGGACAGCTCGGACGCACCCGGGGTGGACACTCTAATGCTTAAATTAGTGAAAAATGTTTGAAAATGCTAGAAAGTAAGAGAGCTAGAGAGTTCTAAGAACTAAACCACATGTAACTTCTCTAGTTGAAGGGGTGTCTTTATATAGGCACAGGTAGTCATGAGCCTCACGTAGCACGTTCGAGATCTTCGAGAGGACGTGGCTTACCAAACTGTCGCACTCGGAGATGGTTTCGCTAAAGTGATAAAGATTATCCAGTTACCTCCGAAACGGGCGGTGCAAGAGCCAGCTCCATCAATCAGGCAACGTGATCCCGGAGGGCTTGGAGATGATAAATTGCACGTGGCAAAAGTTGGCTACCACATCACGTAGGTTGCCACCTCGGACCTCAATCAGGTCGGTGACTGCTCGATGGGAGGTCGGCCCTCCTACCAAGGTCCTTGGTCTACCCCTACTAAGGTCTCCAGTTTACTCCGCTGAGGTGTGTATGCTACATAAGGCTATGTCCTCCTTGGTCCTAGCCAAGGTGATGTTGGGTGCTTTCTCTCTCAAAGCATGCGAGGTGCATCCAAGGTGTGTTTGAGGTGGCTCCAAAGGTGCAATATTCGAGATGGTTCCAATTAACTTGACAAGGATGCATCATGCTGACGTGGCACCAAGGTGTTATGCAACAGTTGGGAAGTGCCATGTGGTGCAATGTCACTAGAGGGCTAAATTACCTCTCATCAATTATTATTATTATTATTATTGAAAAATCAAATTTTTAAAGAAAAGATTCCATTTTTTGTGGAAACGGGGTGGGTAAATAAATAACAAGTTCCATAGGTAGCCCTTGGAATTAACTTTGAAAATGTCAAGACCTGAACCGACCCTGGAATTGATCTTGACATGATTGGTTGTGTTTCCAAAAAGCTGGAACCTACCTTGTACATTTTTTCTTTTCTTTTTTTGGTGAGGGGGTGTTAAAGAAAAAAGCAGGTTCCACATGTAGACAATGAAAATAATCTCAAAATGGTAGGTTACGGTTCAAAAAACATGGAATAACCTCTACAAAGTAGATTCCAAGTTTTGCTTTAGAATCAAACTGAATCAACCCATGCTCATCTTTACTTTTTTGGCACTTCCACTCATTGGTAGTGCAAATTTTGTATCTCTAAGAACTGATGCAAAATTTACATCTTCCACCTACCTCTATTATCTCTCATATGAAGTGGGAACCACATCATCTATTCTAGCTTCTTACCGCACTCCTCAACAAATAACCCTCCTACCTCCATTCTCTTCTGTATAAGACGGAGACAGCATCATTTTACTATTATTTGACTTTCTCCCAAACAAACATGATAAAGTCAAATATGAAAGCAAAAATAAATCACAATTTAAATGGGCTGTTTGGGTTATCATGCATTAATTCTAATGCAAATGAAATTATCAATGCAACCAGCAAACAGAACCTATAGTATTTTCGGCAGTCAGAGAAATGAGGTGGGCTATTCGGAAGTTGGGATGGTTCAAAATTTAAATATATAGAAGACCATTGCCGTGTTGGGTGGATGCTGTTTTGGACATATATAGTTGTATGTCCAGTCCAAAGTACAAAATCTAGACTGGCCCATGTTGCTGCAACCAACCCATCAAAACGTAGTTCAGTTCAGCCCATCAAATTCTCATCCTATTCCTCGTTCTGGGCCCCAGTGGATCTTCACGTATCACTAGTTCATTATTGGATGTATGATGTATCTGAAGATACTACTTATAATAATAGAGTAGGTAGGCCTAGGCATGCAAAACAACAATTAATACAATAGTGGATATCTTTTTAATGGAGGATACCTCTCAAAGATTTTGGAGATTGGTGGCCATGGGAGAGATCAATGGTGGATGCATGTCTCATAGGTATCCTGCAATCTGCATGCATGATAGTTATTTTGTCTAGGCTTCTATTGACCGTTGATTAATGCTCATGACAAGTGCTGATAACGTGCATGAGGCGTGTCACGTGCGCTCATCATTCTATTCTAGGCTATCACATCATTCATGGCCATTGATCACAAAGATAACAAGAGTAAAGCAGCTTGAGCCTTGAGCTGAATGAAAGCATGGATTTGAAATGGGATGGCCGACTGGCCGTGTCATTGTGAGACAGCTACTTCTCATTCATGGTCCAGATAAGGATACGATTCGTCGTCTGTAGAGCTTCCCCCTCTCTCTCTCTCTCTCTCTCACAGAGGGAATGTTCTCGCTTCTCACTCGCCAATACATAAAGAAAAAGGGATAAAGGCATTCAACTTTTAACATAAACATCCAAACATTGTAATCCTAGCTAGCTAATAGAATATTCACACTAACACATTTCTCAGCTGTCTTAACCAACATTAGCTGTCTCTCTGTGTGTGTAGAGAGAGAGAGAGATCCATCTCATATTGATGACTTCATGGTATTTTGCACGGATATTCCCAAATGTACCAGATGTGTCATATCCATACTCCTGGCTTGGAATCTCAAAGTATGCTATTAATAGTTATACATTATAAATGCATGGTTGCTTAAAAGAATAATGTAACCTTATCTTATACATAAACCCTTATTTTCTTCTTCAACGAACATCAGCATATTTTTGTGAGTACGATCTGACCGGACCAACAACCTCCAGTATCTCAAGCCTCAATTTCATTAATTTAATTTATACATCATTCCCTCTGTTATATTCACTAAATAATTAAAATTAAGAAAACAAAAACACTAATGTGCATTAATATGAATTAAACATGGCCATGCATCAACCAAAGAGACAAATTCTGTACAAACCCAAGTACTTTTCACTAAATAAAATTAAAACTAATGAAAAAAAAAATCAAAAACATTAATATGTACAATATTAAACATGAGTACCAAACAAAAAAACAAACTCTGTACAAAGTAGAAACCCAATGAGGGGATCGAGCCATGCATGGAATATTTATAGAATAGCATGGTACCTCTCTTACTCTTTTCAAACAATAC